ACGAAACTGCGGCAGCTACAACCACGACGCGACGAGTACGCGGTTCTTACAGCTGACGATGATGATGATGATGATCTACTGATCAAAGTGTTTGCCTTGCAAGGAAGAGTAAGGTGTTTTGTTTGAAGAAACCCGTTGCACACTTTCTGATTAATTTCCTCTACTCGGACAGCTCGAAACATTGCGTCGCAGAAAGTCCAGATAGTGGTTACAACTTGGACTACTCTTGGATTCGACCCGAATAAGACGAATTAGTGTACTTTGAATTCGGAGCCATGCCCCCAATATACATCTTCAGTTAGGTCGCGCAGTCTCGTCTGTGGTATGCAGTGAAGAAATGCCGGTAAATATCAGATTTTGTTCGACACTCTGGACACCGAGATCAGCTCGGAATTTGATTCTCTTGCTTGGAGAATTCTATCACGGTTTTACTTGCGGATGTCCGTTGTTGAGAAGTCTGACTTTAGAGATGGCTAAAGAGGCTGTTCCAGCACCTGCCCACTGCACCAATCCTCGTCAAAGTGAAGCTGTTCAAAACTAAGTTCCGGTAAGTTGGACTAAGTGCAATCGATCCATATTTTGAATTCGAAAAGCATCGTCTACCTGCAGTATATTGTCATCCTCCATTTTTCAGAACCAATACAGGCAAACAATGGTAAAGTCAAAACGTCACGATTGGTACTTCAGTCTGAGCAGTCGTCACTAGAAAAGCCAGTCAACACGTGACCACGTAATGAGGCTTCCGTAGTTGAAGAATGATCCTCTATAAGTGAGAACTAATCACACTTCTTGACTGAACGGTTAAGTATTCAAACTACTAGCCGGGAGAACGCGGGTTCGATTTTTGTGGCATGATTCTTTATAAGAGTGTAGCAACTATGTGGTTGGCTGTTTTGTCCCCGAGTACAAGCGATTCTAACTTATTTACCTAACGATTTTATGTTTGGATTTCGGGAATTACAAGGATTTATCCGGACTGAGGAGAGAATACACATCTTATCGCGGGCAACCGAAGGAGGATAAACTTTCCTACATGCGGTATGACCGTCCTCCTTTTATCCCACGCCATATTGATGATTCATTGGGCATCACGTGGTCGCGTTGCATCAGACTGTCGAGACTCCTTCACGCCGATCGACACACATGTACAGTTACGTTCAAATGGGCTTCATGATAGGTTCGTTGGCTTTCTGAGTTTATTCAGCTAGTGGTAAATGTATTCGTCTATACTGGCAGTTCCAAAAATCAAGTTCGGACCCAGTTAACCGAAACTCAAAATTCCAACGAGAAGGCCAACTATCTGGATTGGACTCCGAGCCGCGACCGTTCACCTTTCTTGCTGTAACAGGTGGACTACCGTGGATGTTCACAGGTGCGCTTGAGTTATGAACTGATTCGCGAAGCCTCTGCCTTATGGTCGATACCTATCAGTGCGATTAGTATGCTCCGCGTGTCACCTCCCCAGTGCTCCCCGATACTCAAAACAAGTGTCGCAGAAATTAAACTAGAAACAAGTTCCAAAAGGCGTGGTCAAATGGGTCACGTGGGACCTTCACTTATGGCCTAAATACATGGGCTGTTTCAAGGCCAACAGTGGGGTCAGAATCACAAGTAATTTTTATTGCGGCAGCTGTGTAATAACAAATTGTTCACTGAATGTCCGACTAATATCTCAAGAACACCGAGGGTATACCCAGTGATACGAGAGAAGTCAGTCTATGCAAGTCCATGAGAAGGGTGAGTCTTAGTGCACCGAATGACGTTTTGAGGGGTGAATTAGAACAAAGCGTACTCGAAGTAGGCATGTGACTGCTATTTCTGGAATGTTTATGTGTGCCTGAATGCATGCCACGAGTGCCTCGTCCACTGTGAGCATACTATTGATGACAGCTCAATCGCTGTGGGTACCTACCGATTTGGCTCTTCTGAAACGGGGTACTCTTGAACGGAATGTGGAAGACACAGCTGGTGTTGTCCGTACGCTTAGTACGGTGTAAGTTTTGGGTGCAGGAGACTTGGCCTGAAATGCTCGAGAAGTACAATAGTTATTAGTTTTGAGGCTACCGACAATAATAGTACCAAAAAAGAGGAAGTGTTAATGCAGATCTTGGTAATATTTGGAGGGCTCCCATCGTCTACTAATAACATCTCAGTAGTATAAACTAAAGATAAAAATTTGAGGTTGTGGCTCTGTACGGTGTCTTCCGGACTACGAAATGGACGCAGCTCACAGCTGTCCACTGTTGAAGGCTGGCAAGTCGATGTACCCTTGAAGGAAAACACAACCTCAGTCTACTATGAATTTTTGACATCGCCTCGGTTGGTGACGAGAAATTTGCCTCCGAGCTGTCCAGTTTGGCGAACAGAACAGTAGGCACTGAGCTAGGAAAACACCTCTCGGTGTTTTGTGCACAGTGAATTAATTGACAGCCGTTATCCAGGACCACCTTCTACTTGCAGTTGTCCGTACGCTTAGTACGGTGTAAGTTTTGGGTGCAGGAGACTTGGCCTGAAATGCTCGAGAAGTACAATAGTTATTAGTTTTGAGGCTACCGACAATAATAGTACCAAAAAAGAGGAAGTGTTAATGCAGATCTTGGTAATATTTGGAGGGCTCCCATCGTCTACTAATAACATCTCAGTAGTATAAACTAAAGGTAAAAATTTGAGGTTGTGGCTCTGTACGGTGTCTTCCGGACTACGAAATGGACGCAGCTCACAGCTGTCCACTGTTGAAGGCTGGCAAGTCGATGTACCCTTGAAGGAAAACACAACCTCAGTCTACTATGAATTTTTGACATCGCCTCGGTTGGTGACGAGAAATTTGCCTCCGAGCTGTCCAGTTTGGCGAACAGAACAGTAGGCACTGAGCTAGGAAAACACCTCTCGGTGTTTTGTGCACAGTGAATTAGTTGACAGCCGTTATCCAGGACCACCGAACCTTCTACTGGTCCTTCCAGTCCCAAAATAGTTCGCAGGTTTTTTATTCAATGTAACATGTCTGAGGAACTATGGAATGAAAATTCATGCTCAATGTATATCCTGTTACGGTTTCGCGTTCGTTTTTTCGCAGGTCTTTTCACACTCGGACCCGTAATTGCTCCTGATTTCCTATTTGTGCGGTCAGTAAACGGCTTGAGGAAGGGCAGTCAGGAGCACCAAAACTTCGCAGGCGTAGAATCACATGCGGGGAAGCTACTCCTACATTTTGCGAGCCCCACATCATGAGCTGGGGTACTGGATGAAAGACAGGTTGTCCGTGCAGGCAACTTTTGAAAGTTCCAATATAATCACACAGGAATTTTAAAATAGCCCGATCAACACCTAACACAATCCCCTAGACTGTGAGACGTTAAATCTAAAATAATTGTAATTTGGTTGGTGGGGGAACTTTGAGCAACGTTTCTCGTGGTGATGTACCTGTTTATGATAGGATAGATATGACGATAGGATAGAAAACAGACAGCCAATCTTGTGACAGCACATGCACACTCATGCCAGATGCGTGACGCGACAAACCAACCAATCATGTGTGCGAATGCTTATTGGTTCATCGATTGGCTGTTGATCACCGTGCCTTGCGTTAATCATCCCTGATATTCGTCACTTATTACACAGTAACTTGGTGGTTTAGCAACTCACGGTGTCCCCACCCGTACGAGACGAAGTACCAGCAACCACTTGAAGTCATGACGTTTGGATATAAAGTTCGGACCAATAAAACCAAATTTGCAACAATCATAGATGATGATCACCTTTCGGAGAGATACAGTCCCCATTCGTTGTTCAGAACCATGCTCTATGTCTTTATATCTATCAATATTTTGTAACTTCTTTAGAAGCCTTCTGTCCACGTTGTGTTGTGAATTGGAAAAGGGAACGTTTTGGAGATAAAACTTGAGAGGGTCCTATGCTAACTGTGTAATGCTTTAGTTTCATACACCTATTCTGGACGGCGTTCTTATAAGACGAAGGTCTGTGAAAGTCAGCGTCACTGGAAAACGATGATTTGGCATTCTGTACCTGGCTCACATGAGCCTTTGTATTAGAGCAGAATTATATAGCGGACTAAGTCTTCAGAACTAACTGTGCTTAGAAAAAGCTTGGTCAGCCGAGCAAAGATGGGCTTACCATTTTGTGTTCTGCTGACTGTCTGAAAACTTTTGACCGAGACATCCAATGTGTGGCCAGTTTCTCATCATCAAAGTTGACCGGACACATGTTGTAGTGTCCGATTTGTATATTAATCGTCTGAAATCTACAACACGTGTAGGTTAACGGGCAACCGGATGTGAGACGGAAGTGCCACAGAATATGACGTCATTAATATCTTAATAACGTTCACCAAAGCGACTGAAGCGATTCCATTGCCTGCCATGCGTCCCCAGTCATTCAGAGTGAAATCTCTGTACAATGGACACCCTGACATAAGAATTTGCATCGTCCAACCAGCTGGATGCGTGGCGTTTGTGCTCTCATTGAAGTGGCTTCTAAGGTGGAGAAAAACAAATCTCATGTTACCACAACTCGCGAAAATCCGCTGGATGACGTCACCACGCACAGTCCTCTTCCAGAAAGGGCTCGTCAGGAAGACTCCACCACCTATAAAGTAGAGACCGCTTTTTTGGTATCCATGTGGAAATCGACTGGGAACACTCCGGATCTGTGGCTCACAAACGGAGAGAACTCACTCTTGGAAGTGGATTTTAGTGGTTCAGTGAGGACTAGTAACCTATAGAAAATAGATTTCCAACCTGATTTGTTCGATTTTTACACTTGTCCTTGTCACTTTTCGTTTTTGGTCTTCCAACCCATTGAATGTTAAGTCTTATGCTATCAACCACAGATTCGTAGTCAAGTGTGTATTGTCATTGTAAGAGATGGTTCAACCAGTTTTGTAACTTTTCAGTAAATTTTAACACCAGGAAAAAGGCAGAAAGTTGTCCAAGTGTTGAGCTTTTGGACAAAAGGTTGCTTTTAACTGTATGAATATTGTGGGAAAAAGTGAAAGGTCGCGGTGTATCGATACAACTTCATTTTTCATATCTCTGACTACAATATGTAGAGCGATCGACGTTACGACACCAACAAATTAAATTTGCTCATGGAAATTTCTCGGTCTTCACAGTATATCGCGACCCATAAAGAAGCCTAAATATTCGCATAAACGTAACGAATTTTTATGGGTGTTTTTTTTCTAAGGTGGCAACGTCGCCACAAACTTGGGACACAAACTCTGTGCTGTAATCGATCACATGTATCTTATCGCCCAAAGCAAGCCAGAAAACGCGCAGGTAAGGTCACGGTTGTATTGAGTACACGTGACCAGACAGGCTAGCCTCGCAGACTATTGAATCACGTATCCAGTCGACCCACAAACACTCCATGATAGACACGCAGGATAGACACGTACGCGTGCGAACCAATCGGACACGCACCCAATCAGCCTCCGATGGTGGAATGAAGAGCGGACACGCATGCGCACAACCTCTCTGACACACCGAAGCGGCTACCACGTGATCCTTCGCCGGTTGATGAGATAGGCCACTTGTGGGTGCAGAAAACGTATGGTACACGATTTTGTCCTTCAGTTTGTGTGCTATTTTATATATGTTTGCGGTGAAATTCACTCCAGGACACCAGCTGAAAGGACATTTGCCTTGTCATTTGAGTTAGGTGATCGAGCGAGATATGCTCCGAAACCTACCTGATCGATCGCGAAAAGTTAGTGGTCACGTTGCCAACAGTATTCAGAATTCCACTCCACAATATCAAACGGTCAGCCGGTCAGCCCCAGTTTGCGTGTACGACAGACCCGGACAGAAGACAACGGGCTGTCGTGGAGTCAAAAAGCAGACGTGACTGCTTAGGGTGGCCAAGTCGTTCTGTTCTGTTTTTGTTTACTCTTATTTATGACTTGTAATCGATTCTCTTATTATTGAGAATGAAGGGACGGAAACAAAATATGGACATCCCGTCCCAATCGTTATGCAACATTTTATTAGCGTATAATGACACTATTGATGTGATGTAAGAACGCCTATCGGCTAGACCTGATTGGGTCGGCCAGACTACGCGACGAGGGGAAGACCGAAGACCAAGAACACTGCGTTGCTGTTTGCCAGACGTACAGAGTTTGTGCGTTGATTTATAGGATGGTTAGTTGGCCCAATAAGGTCACTAACTTGGGTTCAAGCAGAACATAAGTGTGACGGAAACTCGGGGACTGCGCCTACCTGATGAGCTCCCAGAAGGTCGAAAGCGGTCGTGGGCTGTTGAAGAGGTTTCAGCAACCTCGTGAGTAGTTTTCTTTATGGGCACTAGCTTGTTCGTTCATGTCCATTCAACAGCGGCGTTGATGATGACCGGTGATGACCTTTGGGATACGTCGTTCTCTGCACATGTACTTTCAGATCCGGAAGAAATCCCATCACTTAACTTTGCCATCACTAAAGTCGTTTCGGGTCGTATGCACAGCCACTCCCTGCCCAATGCACATATGCTAGACGGAGGGGGCCAGTTGATGACTTGGATGGACCTGATGGAAGCCTTAGCGGTTGGAGGAAGAACTTTCCCAAATGAGCATGCTCAGAAACCGTCTGAAAAGACTGTTGCTTTAAGTCCTCGTACAGCTGAAGTTTACCTTGCCCCATTGTATCAACTGGTTCCAGCACTTATCGACCTAGAGTTCGCTTCGCTATCCAGTGATCCTACTATGGTTGAAATCAAGGCGGTTATCGTTGAGTTATGATCCTATGATCAGCTATGATCCTATCTGCGACGAACCGTATTGTATTAGGCCATGTTACACCTTTGTCCGTCAAAGAGAGTGCGTCGCTTTGATCAAAATGATGTCCACAGTTAAAAACTGCCGAAAAACCTGAAGAAGGATGCTTCTACCTTCCAGAATTTAAGAAGTGATGGCATGTAGCCTGCCCTTCGTGAACCCCCGGAGTCATCGTCAGCTTTAAATTGCATACATGCTAATTTGACTCATCCAACTATCAAATAATTCTTATGGTGTTTCGACAACCTGCCTTTTGGACAAAGTTTGACAGAATTTTCAAAGTCGAACAGTTTCAGTTTACCGCGGACCTTTAAGCGAAGTTTATATGTACGTTGAATTGCCTATATGAATGTCGAAAATGACCGCAGAATTGTGTGCTAGAGCGAGAAATAACGGGGGAAAATAGCATTTCTTGTATCCTACCATGTACTGTTACTTCGTGTTTCGTAATTCCAACCAAGGGGAAAGGTCACAAGCTCCCCAATATCTGATGTTGTCAGGACGGGCCCAGACATGGAAAAAATACATGTGCAGAATGATGTATCCCCAACATCACCATCGGTGCGACAAGTTCGGAAAGCAGGTGAGTTGGTGGCTCTCACCAAACACGCCTTACCAACATACGACCAGCGTAGTGGGCCTGAAATTGTTCACGACCGGAACACCGCCATTGGTTGTACGGAACCAACAAGTGAACGACCATAATTGTCCATTTAGCCATCCTATATATTAACGCAGAAGTTCTGTATGTTTGACCCGACAATAAAGCCGTGTCCCGAGTCCTCTGCCTTCTCATTATGGCGTAGTCTGACAGGCTCAGTGCAGGTGTAACCAATAGACGGCAACCCACAATACAACAGATGTCGACGAGAGCTAAATAGCACAATTCCTGCAAAAATATCGACTCGCACTTGAATGTGTACTACTCATAAGTAGTCTGTGTTCCCAAACGTTGAGAAGGAATAACATACTGCGGCATACAACAAGGGGGTTGAAAACCATTGCTATTACTCCATATTGAGCTACAACGTTGGTCGCTCAGGTGAGTTTGTTACCCACAACAGAGGCTGATACTGTGATCCTTATCTATTTTGAGTGTTTTCAACACTTTGGTCATGGAAATATATTACCACCATGTATGTTCTCCACTGAAGACCCTCTAGAAACCATGCAGGCACCCAGAGCTTACTTTGGGAATGCTCGTCCAACCATGTTAATTTTGACGACCTGTCGCACCAACATCAGGAGTGGACATGGCCTGGTTGCTAACTCCGTCACGTTTTAGTGGGGTGACAACAATCAGGGGGTACCTTTGTTGTTGCACCAACATCAGGAGTGGACATGGCCTGGTTGCTAACTCCGTCACGTTTTAGTGGGGTGACAACAATCAGGGGGTACCCTTTGTTGTTTCCTTTCTTTTCCATGAGCATAATATGGTTTACCATTTTTCCCACAAGGGATGTCCGTTAAGAAAGCTGAACCTGCCAATCGATCAGATCATTCTTTCGTTGACATAGAATGCATTTAAACATACGCGGAGAAGTGCGCGTTGTACGGGTCTGGGTAGAGGTTCACCCTTTCGACGAATATCTCATCTACTCTGATGAGTTGTGCGGCAGTTCTGCGGATGCTGTCTCCCTTATGAGTGAGGATGTTAAGCTTTAACCGTTATCTGGTTACCGCACTCTCCACGGTATCCGTTTCCCTAATAAAGTCAATTCCAACCAGTTTGGTTATCGCTGCAAAGTCATTCTGTAACAGATATGCCTGAAAAGTTTCTCGGCAACCGGGGAAGATGCTTCGTTGGAGCAATAAACTCCTTCGGAAGAACAGAAACCAATTTAACCAAATTTCAATGCGGAATGCGCATATTTACCCGTTTTCCGGTCAAGCATTCCTAGAGCTTCAGTTTTTCAAACGGAGGGCTAATCATTTCACTTGTGAGCGACTGGATTTAGGCACTTAATGATACTCTCCGTCCGATGAGAGATAATTTTTTTGTAAACTTATCACTGTGTTCCCATTGCTCTGCCACGCGCCGAAATCAAACACCTCTCTTACCTTCGGAAAGTTCGTGTTTATTTTCTCATCGAGTTAACTTTGAAGGAGTCTGGAAACGGTGAACTATTACGAAAGGGGACTCGTGTTTGAATGTAAGGACCAGTAATTTCATATATTTATATTCATTCTAACAAAACACTGGATCTCAGGAATCAGAGAAAAACAATGGCCAAATTGGGGGGTTATCTTAGCGCCACATCTATTTGATATAAATGTATCTACTCATAATTAATAAGTAGTGTAAATTGTTCGAAATCTTTGTAATGGAATGTAGCCGAGCCCAAAGAAAGCCCTGGAGATCGTGTATTGGTCACTCGAATGACAAATGTGTTACGTATATACAATGTATTCGTGGTCTCCATGGCAAGGAAAATGGATTTAGTCTTCTTCTGGCCCTGGCTTGTCGGTATTTCTCGGACACATGCAACAGACGTATACCTAGGAATCTCCTGGTGATCCCATACAGTATATCGCTTGATTTATTTTCAAAAATACTGGGCGATTTACACTTTGCTGGGACTCGCTTCGTCTCTTACTCTAAACAGCATGTCCTCGAATTTTCTCGGTGCATTTTTAAACGAGTAAGTAGATGCACACTGATGTCTCCTGAGAAATTTAGATGAAAAAAGTGGGAAGGGAAACAGTCGAATATGGGCTCAAGCTCAGAACAGAGCGGAACGCGCTACGATCTCGTCTGATTGTAAACTAAATGATGGTTGGTTGGGAAACGCCGACTTACTTACTTAGACTATACTGATGACTCAGTGATTATTCCTGGACGGCTGAATCCTGTTTTTGTACCATTCTCTAAACGGATAGACCAGACACAGGACTAACTGTGTGTGAGAACCATTCAAGAGTACGACGCATTTTCTCACCTACTCCTCTCTAGAAAGTCACCGAAATTCCCAGGACAGCATGCTGCCCCTTCTATCTTTTCTGGGGATGATTAGCTAAGTCGTCGGTTTTGAGTAGCGTTAGAACGGAAACGCAAGGCGACATTCGCGCAGGATGCCAAGCTGTGGAAAATCATAAACGATGAAATCACATGTCAATCTATTAAGTTTCTTCGTTAGTACTAAACAACCATTTTCATAGAGGAAACTACTCACAAGGTTCCTGGAAACTCTTCGACAGCCCATGACCGGTTTCGCCCTTCCATTTCGGGCACATCAGGTATGCGCAGTCCCCGACTTTCCATCAATCTTATGTTCTACTTGAACCTAAATTGGACCGTTTTCTAGAAATACACTCATTTGCAAATCAGTTTGGTTTTCACGAGAGACTCAACTGAATCTCTCGTTTATGATATTTTACAACTGAATGTGCTGCACACAGGCCGTCTCATGATTCAGTTGGCACGATATTCGAGATATCGCAGTATATTTTCATGAAGAAAACTACTCACAAGATTGCTGGAAACTTTTCGACAGACCACGACCGGTTTTGCCTTTCTGCTTCCGGCTCATCAGCTAGGCGCAGTCTCCGAGTTCCCGTCAACCTTATGTTCTACTTGAACCATTTCTTTCTGCATACGTTCAAGTTGGTTTTTGACCAGCGAACAAGGATGCCAGAACTCAACAGGTTGCTGAAAACTCTTCGATGACCACCTTATGAGTAGTGTGCTACGTCTAGACGAGAACGATTAATGATAACTCAAATATCACGCGGAATGAAACATGATGCAGCTGAAGCGGACCCTCATAAACGAGCGCTTCAGATAGATTCATTTGACTGTATTGTCAAAACAAAATTCACCTGCAAATGAGAGAATTAATCGAAACCTGCCTGTCCAATTTGGGTTCAAGTAGAACATAGAATTGACGGAAACTCGGAGCCTCAAGAAGAACAAAACTAGTCGTCGGATGTAGATGAGTTTTAAGCAAACTTGTGAGTAGTATGTTACATCTAGAGAACAACACGAGCGTTTATCCAAACCAGCCTCAACCAAACGAGGTTAAAATCAACTGAGGAAGCGGCAAATTTATTGACCAACTTTTCTGCGTGACCGTCCCAGGGATCCTTGCAAGATAGCGACGTCTACCCGACACTGGCGAAAGAGTATTCTGTTGAAGTACCGTTGAAAAACTCAAGATGAATATGGGTTGTAAAACCATGTGTATGGGGTCATTAATCTGAAAATTATTCGGACTGAAAACTACGCCCTCGCAAACTATGCCGGGGCAATGACTAGCGACAGACTTAAAATACGAGAAGTAGAAAGGAATAAGCAAACGGGTAGCTTTAAGTTTTGGTGTCTGGTAGATCACTTGGACCTGCATGTAAGGCCAGACAACAAAAGAAGCAAATGTTTCAACAAAGTGACCGTCGAAACGTAGACACTCGCTAAATCTAGGTTAGTGTGTACAAACGTCCCACCACTGCGACTTTTATGTGTGGTTTTGAATGGCATTCGAAAGACGCATGCCCTTTGTCCAAGGTCACGGTGGTCCTTAACATGCGCGTGACGACGTGAGTAAGAAAGAGAATTCGGTTGATGATCATGTCTCTGAATACTAAGCGAGGATCTATCCAATACTCAAATTCGGCTTCAACGTTCAAACTCTTTGAATACTCGGTATGACTGACCATGAGGGACTTTGAGTGCCGTCTGTTCTACGTCTGGTTACCAGTGTTTTGCGAACTGAGTTATCTGTGCAACACAAGATGATAACCTTGTAACTAACTATTGTGGGTTGCCGTCTGTTGGTTACACCTGCACTGAGCCTGTCAGACTACGCCATAATGAGAAGACAGAGAACTCGGGACACGGCTTTATTGTCGGGTCAAACATACAGAACTTCTGCGTTAATATATGGGATGGCTAAATGGCCAATTATGGTCGTTCACTTGTTGGTTCCGTACAACCAATGGCGGTGTTCCGGTCGTGAACAATTTCAGGCCCACTACGCTGGTCGTATGTTGCTAAGCCGTGTTTGATGAGAACCGCGAACGCACCAGCTTTCCGGACGTGTCGTACGACGGTGACCTTGGAAATGCGTCACTCTCTGCGCATGTGCATTTTCAATGTCTGGGCGCCTCCTAACACTTGTGTACGAAAGGTGTCCATTGTTTGCCGGCGGCTAGACGCAGACCCAAAATTTCTCTGAAACCGTGACTCGAAGGAGGAAAACTATGACATAAAGTTTTAACATTTATGGTAATTTTTTCGGGCGTATGAGATCTTCCCAAACGGCCGCAGTCTTGTTGGAAGTTGTTTAAATCTACTCAATCCCCACGATATTCAAGGCCCACAATATTCATATTTTAATGGCTGCTATGGCTGAGCACGTGAATGCGGAGGATGATTTTGTGGAGAATTTAGCTCGTCAAAGTTTTTTCTCATTCAATGCATTTCAAGTCGCTTTAAAAGAGTACCAGGCAAAACATTACGTTGTTTTCGTCCGTATAAACTTCAAAAAGAGAAGCAATTTGCTACTTTTGTATGAAAAAGCCTTCTACCGTTGCAGCAGACATCCCTGCAGACGAAGCAGAAGCTGTGGAACTCGTCGCACCTAGTAGGCTCATGGTTGATTGTGTGTACGTTGTAGCACACGTCGTACTGATTGTCCGGCAAGGTTCCACGTTCGCCGGTACCATGACTGCTTGAGGGTTATTTCCTAATACCTGGAGCACAACCATCCACGCAGCAAGTTTAGTTTTGACAGGCTCCCCATCAACCGGCGACTGACAAATGATTAATTAAAGGAATGATCTACCTTTTTGAAATACGGTGCTCCGTCATCGCAGATTCGCCAGTACGTCGCCGACCACTTTGGAAATGTACGTACTATGAAGGATGTGCGTAACTTTCGCGTCAAATGTCAACCCCCATTGTTAAGTAAGACGTTGATTACTTTTTAGTCGGTTTCTTAGATGACATGTCGTCCATCATAGCAAAGTTTCGAGAGTGCGGTCGCGTGCTGCTGGTGGAATCAGGGGGTGGCAAATATAGTCACCTGTGCTTTTCTCGAACGCAGCAGATAGCACTCTTTAGTCTTTTCCCAGACGTTCTAAACGTTGATGCTACACACGGTACTAACCGTTTTGGTCCCTGACGTTCGCTGTTAAGTTACAAGCTCTATACATTCCTTGTGACAGATAGCATGGGGATCGATCGACCCGTAATGTATTCCTTTGTCGAAAGCGAGCATTTTGCGCCATTGCGCAAGCTGTTCAGCTTGTTCAATGGTATGATGGGTGGATAATATCCAGTCAAAAACAAAATGACTTCGCAGATGCGAGCTGTAAAAGCTGTATTTGGCTGCGACATAATACTGTGCTATTTTCACGCATGGCAAGCCATCCGGAAGCATGTATGTTTCATAGCTTTGATGTAACTTTTGCAGACAATTTCCAACCGCAGTCGACACATTTTACCGCATGGCTCGCTTTGATAATGCAGCTGAATAAGTGACTGTGCACCAAACACTAATCGCATAGATTTGCAAATCTTAAGGCGAGCAGATCCCAGTTTTGTCTCTTATTTGACTGCCAACTGGCTCCACACCACTCGAAAGTGGGCCATTCATGCACAACGTGGGTCGCTACATTGGTACCGTTATTGCTGCGGCAATGTACTGCCCGCTGTGTGGAGAAAATCTTCAGGCGCGTCCACCAAGTGAGTGCACATGTATAAATTCAGCTATACCCATTAGTTGCCCATCAGTCTACCTACCGTTCAGCTAAAAGAGCTTGCTTTGATGTTGATCTTGATCGGTCCAAGGAGGACGAGCCGAGTCTGCCCTGTAAGAAATTCGCAATAAAATTGTTTTGTCCAATTTCGGAGTTGATGGAGACCGGTAATTTGAGGCCTAATTTCCTAGCATACGCTTTGCAGACCTCGCTTTCGAATCCCGTGATGACGAGGAATTCATGTGATTGTAGCTCGAAGGCCTCAAACGCCGAACCAGTGAACCCATGGCAATCCGTAACGACTGTACATTTATCCCTCATCTCGGCAATGGGAATTATGAACCGCTAGGTAAGCAAACAAATAAAATTCAATTACATCCAGATGCTTAAATGCTGTTCCCGAAGGTTAATTGCTTGCCCATTTTCCGTTTCAGAATCCTTGTCCCGTGAAGTGGATCTTAAGAAAATGAAAAATGGAGCGACTACCAATTAAGCTTGTATCAGTGATGCCAGTGAATAAAATGCAACTCGCCAATGGCGTTTTATTAAATTCATGGCGGGCGCATTATCAACGCGTGGAGTTATGAGTATGGAGCGCCGTCGTTGGCGATTGTATTACGTTGCCGTGCATAGGTGAGGCCCCATTATCTGCGTCGCGAATAGCAGTTACGCTAAGTAGCCGAGGTGAACGACAGCTCATTGTTTCGGGTAATGGAGGGAGTGGTTGAGGGGGTACAATCAAGAGTAGGATTTGGGAGCGCGCTATCAAAATGGGTGGTGATTGCATTTTGACAGGCGATGACCACCGTTGATCGTTGGGTTAGTCTATTATGTGTTGTCGGGGCATTATGGTTAGCTACGAGCATGTGTGCGGGCCTGGCAGTTACTATAGGTAGTCACGTAGGTTACGTCAAATACAGTTGCGATGTTTACTGAAGGTAGCAAACATAAACGGCATCGAGTAAGTATGAGTATGACGATGAATAGCCAAGTTAGGTGACTTCGAGTACAGTTGTGAGTATAACAGGCTGTCAGATTATGCTATCACTCATAGTTGAGTCCCTGTTTATACTGGTCGGCATATATATTAGAGTGATGTTAACAGTAGGTAGCGAAGATAAGCGGCGTCGCGTATAGTATGAAAGACCATCAGCTTTATGCTAAGCGTTGCACATAGACTCAGTTGCTGCAATTACGATAAGCAGCCAGAGTAGGCGATGTCAAGTGCGGTTACGAGTATGACGGGCAGCCGTTGGTCGGTAAGACGTCACGCATAGCCCAGGCCTATTAACCAGCGTCGCATATAGGCACTGGCCTACCAGTTTCAATAAGTAGTCAAGGTAGACGATATCGCGTACAGTTTTGAGTATTTGGTTAATCGGTCGCCATTAGATTAGGTATGTATGTACAAGGACACTGACTCAACAGGTACGATCAATAGCCAAGTTAGATAACCTCGAGTACAGTTGTGTGTATAACAGGCTGTCATATGTAGCTATCATGCATAGCTGAGGCCTTATTTTTACGGGTCAGCACATAAATTACACTGATGGTTACTTTAGCTAGCGAAGACAAGCGGGATCGCGTATAGTTAACGGTATACGAGACCGTCATTGACAATCGGATTATGTTACTGTTCATAGGTGCAGTCTCATTATCAACGTTGCACATAAACGTGGGCCAAGCAGTTACAACAAGTATTCGAGATAAGTGAACACCAATAGAGATACGAGTACAAGGGACCTTCGCTGCTCATTGGATTGGGCTGCCGCGCATATGTGGGGAACCTCAATTAGCGTCGCACACAGACACGGATCCAGCAGCTAAAATAGGTAGTCGAGGTGAGTGATAACGGCTATCGTCATCATGGTGACTGCTTTATGGTTGGTGGTCACCACCTACAGAACGTCATAGTTATAATAGGAAAGACGCCCACAGCATTCTGTTAACACTGTATTATCTAAAAGCTAGTTGTGCATATCTGGGGAAGGGGATCGTCCGCAGATGTCCCTCGCACTGCCACTGCAAGTTTGTGCTGTTATCTAACCTTATTGCACTTAATGGAACATGAGATCCATGGGGAAAATTTGTTATGAGCAGGTTCACCAAACGAAAATATCCCATTTGTTAAATCTGAGGTATCTAAAACAAACAAACGCCTGCGACTGAACCTATGAGGTGGCACTTGCATTAAATACTCTTGAGATGTTACTTCATTCTTCAGTAGCACCGAAGAACGCCAAAATATGCTAAAGTGCGATTTCGTGTTTTATGTCGTGTAAACCGGCAAAAAATGCAAATCGGCGATGGTCAATGACCTTGACATTTCGCTCACTTAAACAAAAGGCTACGTGCAACGTGTCACGGGAAGGTGCAAATTGATCAGACTAACTTTCCATTAAAATAGCAACTTCGAAAACCCTTAAGTTTCGGCGAACTCAATTTGGGTGTGTCAATAGCCTGCGGCCCATTGTTTGCTCCAAAATAAAACACCAATGACCAGTGCTGTCACTCGTAACGTGTCCCTGTGACCGTAAGTCCCATACCTGCGTTGATTTGTGGCTGCGCTACAGCGGAACACCAACTGCCATGGTCTGAACTTTGTCCTACATGTGTATTTGACCCATGCCGAAAAGCCGAGCACCGCTGTTTCATTCCTATCAGCAGTGCGAATCTCGATGGATTTTGAAACCTTGCAGACAGACACTGGCTTTCACTCAGGCTGTCCGAATCTAGACTTCTCATTTCAAGGCCAACTCAAAAGCCAATCACTACTTTTGGATAGAAGAGGATGTCACCGGAAATTCTTGAAGAGAATCAGCAAATCTGTCGTGGCTGATTAGATGTGGCACACATGTATGTCCACGTGTCCGTTAGCACACAAGACAGTTGCTGTGTGGTGCCTAATCAGAGTTGTGTACTTATCTTTGCATAGCGGACCTGTACACAATGCCCTCATGACCTTGTATACGTATTTTCCAAGTTATCTTCGAGCAAGTCCCGCAACTAAGTTGTGAGGTCATTCACCTTATCCATTACAACTCCATTCAATGAGCATAGGTCTGAGCGATTTTGCACAGTAGGCGACGCAGCTTATGGTACATTTTGTATACATCGGTAGTTGTGTCAACTCTCACGGAAGTGTCTGAGGATATCAATGCATGGATACCAAAGACCCGAATCACGTTAACTAATTTGTGTCACTTGTGGTGCCACTAAAAGGATCTCAAGGGGGCGAGTGTGCCAGGCAAGAGTAACGGCTGTATTGTAGCACGTTATTGTGTCGTGGCCTCTGCGGACAGATAGTGTAACGAGCAGCAAAACAAAGTCGGAGCTAAGTTTCTACACGGTACTATTCACGTAATACATAAATTCACAAATTATACAAACCTCGACAATAGAGGCTCATCAGCAACAAGTGGTCCACTTGGATTAGAGAAGTACGAATCAAAGGAGCAAAAATGATAACACGTAAGACAGCCACACGCGTGCAAAATCGGCCACATTATCACCATCATCGTCATCATCACCACAATCATCATCATCACCATCATTATCATCCTCATCATTATCTTCGTCATTCTCCTCCTCCTCCTCCTCGTCATCATCATCATCACGATCACCATCATCATCATCATCACCATCATCATCATCATCATCACCATCATCATCATCATCATCATCATCATCATCGTCATCATCATCATCATCATTATCATCATCATCATCATCCTCATCATCTTCATCGACAGCACCACATCAGTGTTCAACACCGTTGCTACGCTGGCCTATTGTAGGATCCGTAAATAAGACTTCCACAAATCCCCAAACCAGCCACAACTGGGGGATTTTACAGTGATTTCATCACACATAAATCTATCGAGACCACTGAAACTGCTAGTCGGAAGATTTAGTACTTCCTTGAATTGCGCGTCTCAGATTCAAAACTTTTACAGTAATAAGCAAAACTTGGCACTGCCGAAAGATGACATGATTTTTTTAGACATTGTCTTGTGCTCCGTGAAATTTTGGTACATCTGTAAAACTGCTCGAACGAAACGGGCAGTGAAGTTTCACCGCCCAGCTTGGAATTCGCGTTATTAGTGCAGTTGAAAGGCAGGTAATAGATTGGAAGTTGTGGAGATTGCGTCCTGTAAGTGAAGCACTGCTGATGAGCTCTAATATGAGCAAAACTCGAGTCCACTGGTTCCCTTTGGTGTGGACTCACCGGAATAATTACGCCAGAACAGGAACACGGTCGTTCAAAATACAAAACAATCTGTACTGACTGGACACATCCGAATACGAATCGCATTTGCCCGCTTTGATAATATCATAAGATAACTTTGGATTACCGTCAACTCCATATAGGAACGAGCTAAACAGAAAGGGATCATCCCCTCTGAAAGCTATGTTTGCCTCCATTTGCAACAAGTTGAATGACATCACTATCGATTACCCAAGACACAGGCCACCACATATGAGAAACAGATTCCCTAACTAACCCACCAATGCAGCGATCCGTCCCACAGAGATCAGAATATCGAAGGGTTGTAGATGGTCTCTTCTAGAGGCTTCTCCAAGAGCGTGGTGCCCGTACACCAATTCATGGCTCATGCGAGACGCCCCATGGGTCTCCTCTGGTAGAATTACTGTAATACAAAGATCGCTGATAAAATTGTGCGCCTTTAAACATAAACGTAGCTATTTTCTCAAGGGAAGCTACTCACCAGATTGCTGATAACTCTTCGGCAACCCACGACCGATTTACAACCGTGATTTTCGCGATCGCGCCATGCAAATTGCAAGGCGGATCATTCTATCCTGAGGTTAGTTTCGGAATGGACATGACATATGGAAATAGTCAGTCCTTAGCTCACCACTAAGGATTGTTTAACGAAAAGTCAGGCCGCAAATACATTGTGTATTGTCGAGTGAAATGAGTGTGATCGATGAAGTTTCTGCCAGGCAGACCCTAGTAAGCGACGTGACAGAGTAACCTGCTGGCGAACAGACCGGCTAACCCTGTTGGCTATGCAGGTGTCATCTGTTAAATCAAAAACGAACACTCACCAACTGCCTCTGATGTAACATTTTCTGGTTGCATATTTGGCACCAACTCACGCACTGACTTGACTGTAGCTTCGATGTGAATAGTGCAAGATTTTTCTTTATCCTCGTTCGCTAGCATTGTTTTAGTGTTAGTTGCAGAACAGTCGTTTCTGAGGACGAAGTTAATTCTTGATCGGAGCTGAGGCGGCCATTTTGCAGCGTATTCAGCTAAAAAGCTACATCGGTAATGAAAGAATAAGCTGAGAATTAGTTCAGTTTCCTGTCAAATCCGGATCCGCTTGAAAATGAGTGAACTTTTAGAATCTGTGAGTAGCTCAGGGAAGAATGATTATGCAGGATAAGTGAGACTTCCAGCATGAAAAGGTGTCGAGAAGTCAGCGTTCGCTAGCATTGTTTTAGTGTTAGTTGCAGAACAGTCGTTTCTGAGGACGAAGTTAATTCTTGATCGGAGCTGAGGCGGCCATTTTGCAGCGTATTCAGCTAAAAAGCTACATCGGTAATGAAAGAATAAGCTGAGAATTAGTTCAGTTTCCTGTCAAATCCGGATCCGCTTGAAAATGAGTGAACTTTTAGAATCTGTGAGTAGCTCAGGGAAGAATGATTATGCAGGATAAGTGAGACTTCCAGCATGAAAAGGTGTCACTCGAAAAGTCAGTCAACGCCTGAATGATGTGAATTTCTAAACTCGAGAATAAGTGTTGCTATATTATACATAACTGGGATTCGATTGTACGGACCGAGAAGCTCTGACAGGCGGGTCAGCTGAACAACACAACCAGAAGAGTTACTGGGTCATCTTTCGAGCCGTCCCTAAATTAATCACATTGCTCAAGCGTGGACACAATCGATGATTCAAGTGCGTTCAGTACGTTCTGGTGGATTGGTGGAAACACTCTCGCCTCACATTTCAGACGTCCAGAGTTCAAACTCTGACAAGGTCAAGGATATGTACAGTTGATAAGTGCAAGGCTTGAGGCCGGTACTTGTCTTTTTGGCGTGAATTCGCCAGAATAATTGCGCCGGGACATAAGCAAAGTGAACCCGAATTCTACAACTCTTGCAGCCATCTATAACTAAGCTGATAGTTTATTCATAAGGCGTGGAAACACAAAGAGAGTCTGAGAACCATAGTGGCAAGAATACACTCTTTCGTAGGACCGTAATGGATTATACCATAATCCCCGTCGGCTATTTCACACCAAGGCGGGGACCCATTGGACTAACTTTTCGCTTTTCTTAGAGCTCATCAGTAGTGTATACAATTTAGGGGCAGTGAATTTGAAGTCCGATATGCAAGGCTGTTCCAGCGCCTCGATGCGCCTCCAATCAGGACTTGCTACTCAGACAGCCCACAGATTC